TAGTCCTCCTTCTCAATAGGAATACACTTGATCACACAGTTCTTACTATAAGTGTCCCATTCTCTCTCCTTCAAGAAACTCAATTTTGTTCAGTTCAAAATTAATTCATTTGTTCAAATGCATAAGTGGTTATTATACATTTAATTAATTGTAGCACTATTTTTTTGAGGCTTAGTCTTATAGAATCATTAAATAATTACAATAAAACCAAACAGATAATAACCCAACATGGAGCCTGACACTTTTTGTACTATTGCGTAAATAATTCCTATAGCCCATTCAGGAGTATTAACTAATTGTTTTTAAAGGTCTTGGTAGCTTAGCTAATAACCTAATTTATACTTATTATTGCCACTAATCTGTTTTAGCTATGTGTTTTCTCAAGATGTTTTTGCCACACTGAAGAAAATAATATTTAACCTAATCCCCAATTTTAAGTATCACCACTGAACTTTCTTCATTTTGTTTTTCTCACTTTTTTTTTAAAGACAGCAAAAGAAATTATCATTTTAATCCACTGCTAACAGTTTTAGATTTTTCAGGTGACATCACACTGTGACATAACAAATCAAAAACTACAGCAATATCTTTTTGAAGAATTTGAATGACAGGAAATAGAAGTAGGTTAAAAATTTTTTCTTCTTGCCAAAAAGTATTTTCTTAAATAACCATCATTATAGACCTTTGTCTTACAGTCCTGTGTCACACGCCACTCTAGAATATAGTCATTTAAATATACTTTTCAAACTGAAGAAGCATTCATTGAATAACCACAAAAGTCAACAAAAAGAAGGCATACCTGTATCAATTTGAAGTAGGCCTTTTATTAAACCAAAGTCTAATAAACCCTGTCAAGTATTCACCAGCCTGTTCAAAGTCTAACCCACTTTACTGATTCCATAGTGAGTGAGAAGGAATCTTTTGCAATGGGCATTAATTACAAGAAAAAAGCAGAAGACTTGAGAAACTAATGGAGTCAGGAAACAGGTTTATAATTGAGTTCTGGTTTTCACTAACTGTGTGGCCTTAGGGACTCCATTTTTAATTCCTGCGTTTAAGTTTTCTCTACACAGAACAGGAGGATCCTAAGAGCACTCTGTCCTCACAGTGTGTAGTTAGAATCAAACATAACTATATGTATGTCACTGGATTTACTTTGGAAGTTTTAGTAAAATTTGCCGATCCTCATCGACTGATTAGGATTTGAACGAAACTTCTTTTGATTCTTTACCTGTATTTTAGTTATTAATATGTTAATTTAAATGTTTAAAGGAAGCACAAAAATGCTTGCAAAACTATTTAGCATGATCTCAACCATGTTAAAAATAATTATGTGCAGAGCAGAGATTGGTTAAGAGCTAAGCCAAAGTGTGAATAATAATTAACCATGAGAACTGAGGTAATTGTTACCTTTATCCTTCATCATTCTTGTAAAAACCGTTTTAAAGGATTTCTACAGTGGGCATCCATTATAATTTAAAAGTTGTTTAAAGAATGTCTGCATAACTGTTGTCTCCCCTTCCTTTGCTGTATGTTAACTTCAGCTATCCCTGGAATGGCTCAGAGGCCAACTCTCCCATTCTCTACACCCCAATATTCAGGCAGCAGTGCTAAGCTATAAGCAAGGCCAGCGGACTCAAACACGCTGGAAGAAAACAGAATTTCAGGTGCATTTACTGGCTATAGGGGACTCTATTTAAGGCAAATGGGTCCCGCACGTTGATATCTGGGCTTAAGGTTGAAGGCCAAGAAAACTGAAGACAAGGCTCTATATAGCCAATTGTTAACGAACTGGAACAGTCACTATCCTGGGCCCACTGAGTAACTCCCGCCTGCCTGCCTGTCCCTCCATGGCAAACTCCCAGCCCTGATCCTTAACAAGGCACAGGTCTCCAGGATCCTTTTCAGCCTAGAGCTGAGTGTGCCTCTGGTGTTACAGATTCAGAACATTACTCCTGACTGGGGGCTCTTTGGAGAGTTGCCAGGATTCACACAGGGAGCTGTAGAATCAAGTTAAATATTTTCTGTTAAAAAAATCAGTCTGGAAAGTGATGATAGTTGTGTCTTTTAAAGTGGGGATGAAAGGAGAAGGAAACGTATTATACTTACCCACAGCTACACCATGCTGCCTGCCTGGGAGAAGCACGGGGCACTGGAAAGAGAATTGTGGAAAACCTCCTGTCCTCTTGCCCTCCTGCTCTGCTACCCTACACTTCTGTGGGCATGCTATGTAATTTCTAAGTGAAGACATGGGGCCCTTGCAAATGGGGAGTAAGTGCTCATGAGTGGTTTTGTGCAGTCCAGGCCAGCCATTGCTCCTTTGGTCTCCAAGAGTAAGGTCAGGGCTTACTGGCAGCAAAAAAAATTCAAGGGGATTCTCAAGGAGCTGCTTATGCCCCAGAGGCCTTCACATCTAATTGTCTCCTTGTGCAAACTGCGAATTTTAAGCAAACCACTCTTGCTGATGGAGAAGCTAGAGAAGCTACCACCTCAAACCCACTGAGGAGATTTCATTTATTCACACGCATTCCGCCAAAGAAAGTCAGATACATTTCACAGGTTTAATGAGAAAATAAATGAGAAATCCAAAACTGTAGTAACTTATTAAAGGAAAGGGAGAATATACGGGTGACTTAATGTCCCTAGTACCTATCCTGATATTGATATTTATCATTTTCTCCTCCTCTATGTAGTAACATTTTAAAATGCATATCAGAAAAAAAAACTGAGAGGAAAAAAGCAAAGTAGGAAGATCTTTTGTATCAACAAAGTAAAAACTAAGAGGAATGGGTTGCCAATATTCCATCACGTATCTAAGTTATCTAGATGAACACTCTGCTCTTAAAAACAAAGATGCTCCCTGGACTGGATGGCTTGTTTTCGTCATGGTCAGTTTGTTAAATATACACAGACAGGGGGCTTTGACATTCTAAGATAATAGTACTATATAACAGTTCACTGACAAAAAAGGCTGGGGAATTGGTCCCAGGGTAATTCTTGGGTACCATTTTTGTTCTTACTGTACTGACTCTGGCACTTACAAATTGTGTGATCCTGGGCAAGTTACTTAACCTCTCTTGGCCTGTTATCCATCTGCAAAACAGAGATATTACCTACTTTATACAGTTACTGTGACGATAAACTGAAATAACACCTGCAAAGCAGAAGACACCTAGCAACTACTGCCAAAGGAAAGCTGTTGTTATTTTACAATGAGGAACCTACTGAATTCCTTGGAGAGGCCATGTAACTGACTTCGCTGCCTTGGCTGTTATGTTGTCTGGATGTTAAGGAAGGCCCTTCCAAGGGAATGGCTCCAATTGTTTTTTTTTCTATCTTAAGAGTACTTAGGTCTCGAGTGCCTAATTTTCATTGTAGATCACGGCATTAAAGTCTTGATCAGTTTCTCTTCTCATTTCTCAAGCATTATTTAGTCTACTTTGCTATATAATTGTCTTAAAACATTTATCTAGAAATACACCACATACAGTATTATAGGGAGACTGAAATTATTTACTGTTCTCAGACGACCATGCCATCTGTGTGCTGATATCGACTTTAAGTGTCCTAGTCACATTGTCTCTGTAAAGTATAAGCTCCTGAACCCTAAGTATCTAGAAATAAACGATAGCTTTAAGTATTACTCAGCCTACAGATGCATAGTTTTGTTTTTGATAACGATAACATTCTGTGTCTGCTTAATTTAATTGACATGTGTAGATGCTACATGCCTGACACTGGGCTAGGAATTGGGGATACAGACATGAGTTTGACTTAGTTTCTGCCCTCAAGGACCTTACATGGCCTGTCTCTCCTTGTATCAGGCCATCAGAAATGAGAGATGCACAAAAAGTAAAACCTTCCTCTGATATCTGCTTTAACAGAAATATGCTTGATGTACAATGGATTTTGCCTGGATTAAAGGTTTGTTATAGAAAAGAGTGTCACCTGAATTAGGTGCCGAGAGATGAGTAGGAGTTTCTCAAGTGGTGTCCTTAGACTGAAAAGAACAGGAAAATGGAAAGCCCAGAGGCATAAAAGTTTACAGCTGCTCAGGAACCACAAACTGTCCAGTGGGGATGGAACATTTGGTGTATGGTGGGAACTGAGGGTACAGTTTATAAAAATGGACAGGAAAAGATCCATGTCGTGAAGGACCTTGTGTGCCTCGCTGAAGGTGCTGGAATTCAATTCAGAGACTATATAAAGTCTTTAGAGGCTTTTTGGCAGCAGGTGACGTGGGTCTTTTCAGTGGGAAGAGCCTGGGCTCTGGGAGAGGAGCCAAGTGGTTATTACAATAGCCCAGTTGTGAGGCAGGCCCAGAGGAAAGCAGTGGGGCTAGAGGACTGATGGATACGTACGAGGTAGGATCCACAGAAGAGACTGACTAGTTAAGGGAGAGATGCTTTATGGGTGGATCTGATGTTCCTAACCTGGGTCACTAAATGGTGCCTTCCTTATAAGGTAAGAACATCACTTATAATCTAAGAAAACCACTTAAAATTTCTGTACTAGTAGGCACAGAAGTTTCCCTCTGTTTTTTCAGTCATCATTTATTGAGTCTCCATTTACTAAAAGACCTAGGAAGTACTCAGCTGCTACTTGGTGAACTTAATACTTCCAACATTATGACAGTATTATTAACCTCACTTTACAGAAAGGGGAAACAGGCTCGGAATGGTTAAGTGATTTGCCAAAAATCACAGGTAGCAAGTAGCAAGAGCAGAAATCCAAATCCAAGTCTGACTCCAAATCCATTCTCTTCACCTCATGTGCTCCCTCAGTATCGCCTAAAGCTATAGTAAAAGTGATGACTTTTATCAAATTCTAAGTAAAAGAATTCAATTCTTTATTCTTCTATGTTCCTATCATTTGATCTTTTTACTCAAAATATATTTACACCTCTTCATTGTCCTGATACACATTAAATATGATCGGGATGGTTCTCAGGACCAGAAGTCACCTGAGCATTTTTCCACAGGCACTTCTGCGCATGTGTGGGTTTGGAGGGTGGTGAGAGCACTGGAGGGTAATAGAGAATCTACACTGCATTTACTCCAAGGGCTTTTTGTTCTGGCGAAATTACTATTATCTAAAAACTGACATTATTGATTTACCTTTCTTTAAATCTTCTTACTTAGAAAATGACAACTGTGGACTAATAGGATCAAAACTGCATAATCCCAGGTAAATTCCCTAGTTGGTCCTCATTATTCACAGATTCTGTACTTGCAAACTTGCCACTCTAAAACGTATTTGTAATGATCAATCAATATTTGTGGGGCTCTTGCAGTCATTTGCAGATTACTGAAAAATTTGAGGAGCCAATGCACACATTCCCATCTGAGGCTGAACTAGGTAATGCTCTGCCTTATTTCAGCTCTTATAGTATAAACAAGTGTCCTTCTCATGGTCTATTTAGTGCCACATTTTTTGCATTTTTGTGCTTATTTTGGTAATTTCACTATTTAAAATGCACTCCAAACATAGTGTCATCTACTGTTCACGAGTGCAAGAAGGCTGTGATGTACTTTACTGAGCAAATATGTGTTAGATAAGCTTCATTCAGGCATGCGTTATAGTGCTGTTGGCAGGGAATTCAATGTCAATCAACCAACTCTATATATTAAATAAGGTCTCTTTTAACAAAAATTACTTAAAACAACATTATGTGATCAGAGGCTCATAGGAACCTAGCTCTATATTTCCCCCAGGAGTAATGGTTCAGTATTCAGTGTTCACAGTGACTTGGTATTGCAGAGTTATGAGGATGAACTGAGATGATCATAAATATACCTTTTAAAAAGTAGAAAGTCCTTTAATAGTATCAACAGCAAGTATCTCTTCCCTAAATTTGGCATTTAGAAAATTTCAAGTTTTTTAACATCATAATTATTTTACTTTGAAAGTTATTTTTAAATTACCACATTTTATGGTTGTAAGACCCACATTTTTTCATATTTTAAAATCTCTGAATGTGGTGTTCAAAGATAATTATAATGTGCAATTATGATCTGCAGTGTTTCTTTTTTTCTTCTTTCGTAGTGGAACATAAGTATTGGTGTGTTTTATATTCAATGTAGTCTTATATTACATGAAATAATGATATTTTATATTGACTCGCCCTTATGAGTTCTCTTCACCTAGTGCTGACTGTAACCTTTCTAAATGTGACTACTCTAACCTGACACCTTCTCCACTGAAGTTTCCCCATCCCTTTCCTTCGTTTAATAACCTCTCAGCTCTTTGTATTCCTAATCCAAATACCTTTACCTTTTTTTAAATCTATTTTTACCTTTCCTTTTTAAAAAATTTAAACTTCAAACAGACTAATTTCTAGTGTGATAATCTAATACAAAAGAAAATGTGCTAATGATATTTCCTTGGGATAAAAATATTTAATTGCCTATATTTGCAAGTCAGTCTGGAAAGTAAGTTAGGGAATACTGTCCAGAATCTTTCACAAATAATACAGTAACACAGGCCCTCTCAAGTGGTGCCAGGAAGAACACCTCTCCCCAACCTCGTTCTTTTTGGTAAAGTCTAACACCTTCCTTTCCCCCTTTTATAGCGGCCCGAGTGAAATCATTTTTTTTTTCTTGTAAACTAACAGACTCATTTCTTTTGGACTCTCACTCCACCAACTGCTCCCAGGTATGAATGCTTTATTTTTATTTTATAAAAAATGAAACAGGAATCTCAGAGTTGACTCTGGGGAGGCAGAGCAGTGACTGAGGAACAGCATCTCCGCTTTGATCTTCGGCAGGTGCCCCCACCTCCTTGTTAACCTTACCTCCTTTGCTAACTGCTAGACGCTACTATCTCCTTTGCAGTCATCCATACTGCTTGGCTACAGAAAGAGTGATCCCACAACAGAAGGATAGGTTCTATGAGAAGAAAGCCCCAGGTCCTTCCATGGAAATGTACTGGACTCTAGGACAACAGAGACATACTGGGGCCATTGGGAAGCAGAGATGTGGCTTAGGGAAAACTGATCCCAAATTATATTGGAGAGTTACTGCTTATAAAATACTTGTTACACGTAAAACCAGAGTATTACTTGCTGTACTTTTATTTAAATGGGTGTCTAAAAATAATAAATTTTCCCTCTCAAAATGCATAGCTAATAGTGAAAAGTACATTCTAGAGTGATCTCCCAGAGCCTGGTTGTTTAGCCAAAGATGGAGATCGAGAGGTGAGGGCAAGAGGGCAGTGATGTCTCTTTTTGATTCAAGTTTTCATCTCCAAGTGACACTTTCAGCCTAAGGTGTCCCTGGGTAGTGAGTACATGTGTTAAGTAATCACAAATAAACTTATTATTTCCTGCATTTTACACTGATTTTTTCTATTCATAATTGACAAACATTTTCATCTACATAGTTGGTTTTCCGTATGGATCATTAAAGCGGTCGTCGTTCTCCATGTAAAATGGCTCTTGGTTCAAGTTCATGGAGACGATTATCAACAAGGCTGAAAAGTTTACAGTAACAGTAATTAGCCTAATATCAACCTGTGTAATTCAATGTCTGACCATCAAAAGGGCTCAAGAAATTGCAGCATTTTCATGTTTCTGGGAAGTAGAGGACAATGATTAGTGGCAGGCCCAGTGATGAGTTATCCCTAACACAAGACATTTCTCTTACTATGGATTCAGGAAACAGAAGTCGGACTGAACTCCAAATCTGCTTAGGACTTACCAAGGACAGATGGTTTGCCAAATAGTTAGGATTAAGAATTAGGCAATAATACTCTGGACATTTGTGTCGCCTGTCCTTGCACTCTAAAACTTTACCCACAGTTCTAAATGGCTGATGTAAGTATGTGCTATTGGTTGATCAGCAGGATGCTATTTTCTTTCCCAATGAAAGAGAAAGGGTGGGGAATAAAATGAAAATACCCTTTTGAGGGTAAAACCTACAGTTAATCAACCATAATTTATGGGTCTGTGAAAGCTGTAAAATTTCACAGTGTGTTAGTTGCACTTGTATCCCTCTGACTTGAAGAAACCAAAAGCACTCTGGATCCACTGCATGTTTTGGAGTTCTACCCAGTCTCTCTCCTGCAGTCAGTGCTGGCCTGGCTTAGGAAGGCCCCCTGGACTCCTCATCTAACCCCATGGCTCACACACAAAAACAGAGAATGGATTTACTTTACCTCTTGCTTCTCCCCAACAAGATAACTGCACTAAATCTAATTCCAAAATATTCTGAGCCAAACCTTAGGTCTATTTGAGGTATTCTTTTAAATGAAAGGACAAAAGGAAAATAAATGGGTGCACAATTAAAAAGGTTTCAAGATATTGTTCTAGCTAATGATCTTAGTATCTTTTGTAAGCCACAGACACGCAGGAATGAATTCAAAGACATAAGCAAAATCAGTACCTTCCCAAATAGTGAAAAAATGACTTTACAACCCAGAGTAGATCACGCCATAATGAATTTTGCTACTCTGAAAATCTACTATCTCTAGGAGGCAGGAATTTCCTCATATTTAGCCAGGGATACAAATAGTTTGGGATCAGCTTAATTACTGGTCTGTTTTTGTCTACTCTTTTTAGTTTACAGTTGCTGATTAACTTCAAGGGGGGGAGTTCGCATGCTGAAAAGAGACTATGCCTGTTGAAACTTAACAAGAAAGTGAGAAATTAATGAAATAGAAGAAACTATTTGTTCAATACTAGTCAAGTCCTGTCACTAAAGGTATCATTTCATTTTAATTTCTACCACTGATTAATAAAACATGTATATCAAAGTCTTTAAAAATACAAAAGCCATTTTAAAGGAATAGGGCCATATTTTGAAGGAAACTCAGGCTCATAGCACTTGGCCTATTTCAATCTCACTGTACCACATGTAAGAATTGCTTTTGTATCGATAGAGACATCTTTAGTAGGACCACAGGCTTCAGGCTTATACCCAAGAAGAACATGGCTTAAACATAGCCAGGACAAGGTTAGTGGCTCATCTCAAAATCTGTTTGGCACTGACAGGCTAAGGGTACCCTGTGCATGCCTGTTTTTCCCACTTTTCTGTATCACTGGCCAAAAACAAACAAACAAAAGCATACACACACACACACACACACACACACACACACACACACACACACTGATGAGACAATGGAAAGGAATAAGTTGCAGTTGGCTTGTAAGTAACATGTCAAGTACCTGGGATGCTCTCTAATTTCCTCCTGAGCTCTTCATTTTCTTGCTGCAGTGAAATAACCTCCTGCTCCAGCTCTTGGCATCTAGGACAGTAGCCTTCCTCTTCCTCCTCCTCTTCCTCCTCTGGCAGTGTAGAAGAAGATGGATGGCCGTGGGATTCAGATGTTGCTGGGGAAGTCCAGCCACCTAGTGTATGCACGGGGGAGGTTGACAGAGGATCCACGTCGGCCAGGTGGCCATACTCACTGACTGATGAGGGGTTTGGAGTCGGAAAGCTCCCCGAGAGCAGGTAATTTTGTAGGGAGTCAGTGAAAACTCTCAAAAAGGCAGAAGTTTGTTGTTTCCTTTGCATATACTGCATCTCTATGTCTACATTGTCTGAGGTCTGACTGTGGACCCCTTTCCCAATGTGACACTGCTCCTGTCTTTCAGTATAACTCGAGCCTTCTTGCTTTACATAAGAAATCATGGATTGGGAATGGCTGGAGTCCAGAAGTTTTCCTCCACAATTTAAGAGGCTCAGAACTCGACTGCACTGTTGGGCAAAGGCATCCAAGATCATTCGACTCTCTGAAACACATGAAAGGACACATCAGAGATCAATAACCAAAAGCAAGGGATGAGTAAGGTCCTCAATTTTGAGTTTAACATTCAAAAATGTTAAAAATATGTATTTGTTTCTACTCTATCACAAATCGAGGTGACATGGCGAGTCCACTTTTAATAGGATGCATATATAGCTTCCTGTTGTTCTGCGACTGGTGGGGTGCCTGATGAGTTACCCCCAGCCCTTTACTCTGGGAAACGGCTGGACAACAACTTTAGAGTATCATACAGAGATCTCTCTCTTTGTGGCATTAACTGGCCTGCACAGGTCTGAACTCGCACCTTTGGCTTCATTAATATCTTTAATGAATCGAGCCAGCCACTGCAGACTCAATTCCTCATTGACAGAAGGGCTTAGAGCAATCATTACTTCTATTTCTGGAGTGCCCTCGTGCCCTTGCTATTAATCAGCTGATACAATCCTGCTGAGAGTACGTGGCTCCCACATACAAACTGAAGATAAGTCTTTTAGAAGAACTCACTAGACATGGAGGTAAAACAAAGAGTGGACCTATAAGGCAGATGATGATAGCTCAAAAGCAAAACTCTATGTGCCATCCAATAACTTTCTTTTAACTTATCTGCCAACATGGATATTATGTCAAGGCCAATGTTTAGGCTGATCTATACAGTATCATCTGAAAAGCAGTAGTGCTCTTTTTAGAACCTCTTCCATTAGATTGCCAAATCTCCTAAAATGGCTTGTGCTGAGAGTGCTGGTTAGTTCACATACATGAATTCCAAAGCATATTAACTGTTAATCAGTAAAGAGCAAAAAACAAACAGAAAGCAATCAATTCACTGAAAAAAAAAAAAAAAAAGACAAAAAAACCTCTAAATTGTGAAAATGTGACTTGATGTCATCAGTCTAAGGATCTTGAAAATTCACTCTAACGTAAACGTCACAAGGCAGATTCTCTCCTGACTGCCACCCAGAATAGGCTATTTACAAATAGAGAGAGATACTTTTTAGGGCTTACAGAGTGGTATGAGGATTTTCTCTCCCCACACCCAGAAAAATGGCAACAAAATAGTGTAGATTTTTGATGCTAATAACTATTGTTTATGACAGTAACTAGCTACTGCTGTCTCTGAAAATGCTGACCAGTTGTATTCTTCCCCAGAAAACAAACAAAAGCCACAACTTTTAAAATGAAAAATGGTGAGATCTTCAAGGGCTTCTACGGAATCAATGAACCAGAATAGTTGTGATCAGAAATTATTTCTTCAGAAAATCCAGGATGTATGACCAATGAAACCACCCTTCAGAAACCTGCACATAGTACTACATGCTCCATTTTGTACTATTCTTTTCTGAGTAACTAAGATATTGGGGTCCAAGTCTCCTTTTTAAATTATTTAATAAGAACGTAAAGCCTACAGCACAGTGCCTGGCAAACAGGAAGCATCCCTCACATCTCCCAAAGCTATAAAATGCTACTATTCCTGGATCCCTCTGAAAAAATGACAAATCAGAATATGCAGGCTAGTACTCTTCAGTTCAGGAGAGGAAGAGAGACAGTACAGTCTATGAAGCCAGTAAGTCTGAGTGCCCTGGGGTTTCAGGGCCAGCATAGTACCTCAAGAAATATTTACTGAATACATGCAAGAGCTCTTGTTAAAAAAAAAAAAAAAAAGAGACTCTTAGTTTATGGCATTTTCAGATTTACTTGGCTGGGATGGCGGTGGCAAGACCACTTAGGCAGGCTGAGAGTCCACAGGATTATTTTCTTCTCGGCAGAGCGCATCCTCATTCTAAGGAGCAGTACTGCCCTAGACACAGGCAGGAGGGCCCAGCCTAGACCCTCCTGCTCCAGCCCTCCCTCTCCCCAAGGCTAAGTACCCAAGATCCAGGAACTCAAACTGCTTAGAGGGCCTGTGGTCTCTTCCCTGAGCCATCCTCCCCAAGACAGACCATGGTACCAGAGCTGGGGCATCCATATGTGTGTGTAAGAACTCTCTCCTAGAGGAAGATGAAGCTAGGGGTGGGAAGAAAAGGCCATGAGTTGCTGCAAACTCCAAAGTCAAACCTGGTCAGTATGAAGGTGTCTTTGTCAGGGTAGGTGGACAGAACTTTTTAAAGTTAGCCCGATTCATGCCTCTTAATTATTTAGACATAGGGCTTGCATTTTTAAAAATTTTATTAGTTTCAAGTATACAGGACATTGGTTAGACATTTATATAGTTTATAAATCGATCCTCTTAACTGCTCTTTCTCTCCTCTGGCTCTCCACCTAGCCAATACATTAATGCTAACTGAATTCTACAGGTCTGCGTTTGTACTCTTGTCTCGAATCCCTCAAATATCAGGCAAAGACCTGTTTTTTACACAATTATTTTGAATGCTGAAGAAGAAACCAAATGCTGGGTATAGTTTCAGGCTAGAATTGATTGATGGGACTGTGAACTTGGCTGAAGGAGCTGCCAACATAAAGTCTTCTTACTATGTTGGAGAAAAAGGGATGTGGACATAGAAAGTATCTTTCACACACCAAGCACTCGAACTGATGATGTCGCCTCTGCCCCCTGCCAGGTGAAATGAAGAACTGAGCTCATAATGTAAATCAACACTAATGGGGGGAAGGCTTCAAATATTGGGGTATCATTTCTTTATAATGACCAAAACCAAATAAACAAAAAAGTAAACAGCTAAACGATATAAGTGGGGAGATTTAAGATGTTGCAATCTCATTTCTTTACTTGGAGGTTTTTGTTCTTTTATTAGTAAAATCAAAGAATGATATTGATTGGGAATTCTCAATGCTAGCACACTCGCAGTTTTCATTCATTTTAATCCTATAATCCCATTCTAGACCTGAAGTTGTATTTACTGTTTGCATTTTAATCAGCATAGTCCCAATTGATTTACAGCCTATACACCATTAACATAACCTTGATGAAAGGAAAATATGAAAAGAAAGGCTAAAATAGAATTGTTTAGAAAGAATTGCTCAATATATTTGTTCTATGTCCTAAAGAACACTCAGTATTTTAAATCATATTGATAAAATCACATTAGGGTATAGATTTTAAGGAAAAAATCTGACTTAGGGACAAGTATGATTTGTTTTCTTAATTGAAGGATAAACTTGTAATATGCTGAGAAAAAAATCATTATGTACTACCCTACATTATGAAGATAATGTATTAAAGTGCACTCAGAATATCAGAAAATAGCTACAATCATAAAACAGTTCTTGCCTGCAGTTTTTTTAAATGCTTCATTCTTAGAAATGATATATACAAAAAGAGCAACTATAACCCTTAAAATCGAATTTCTCTTTTCAGTATCTTAACATATTTGAATAATATTTTAATATTTGAATAGTATTTTACACTGAAGAGTGTGATGAAAAATATTACTATTATATTTCATAGAACACAGTAAATCTTTCCACTTAATACATACTGCAGCCAACAATACTTTAGCTTTCTAGATAGAATTACAAATGCAAGTACTGTGTGATGCCCATTCTTGCTAAAAAATGGAGAAAAGTTCTGTTTTCATATGAACACAACTGAATGGCCACTGATCCATGATTCACAACTGAGCTAAGAATGACATGTATTTTGAATTTTTTTTTAACTTTTTTTCCCCCTAGTCACAGAATACTCCACTCAGATGATGGCAGGGAAGGACAGTCAGCAATTTACAAAAGAGCTTTAAAACTACTTACTTTGCCCCTAACTTTGCTAAAATTAAACACCATGAAATGTTAATAAATCATAATCACAAAGCATTCTAAAATGGCCACTTCCAATTTATTTTGCTTTGTTGTGCAGTCTGTTGGGAGATAATATCATGCTGCAAATGTGCCTAGTCTGATTCCAAAATCTGAACCCATGATTATTTTTTTAATTAAAAAAAATTCATTTTTAGAAATTCTTTGGAATTTAAGTGGTTTAATCCATCCTAAATCTGATAAGTGAATAAGAAGAGGTATGGGAACTCAGCAATCAAACACAGGCTTCCTACTTTAATGTCCTTCTTTGTAAGTAAAGCCTTGAATGGAATTTGCCCATCACAGCATATCCCCAAGAGCATTCTGTTTCTATGAAGGAGATCACAGCAGTCGAGAGTAGTGGTAACCTTTTGATTTTAGCCCAATGAAGGGTGAAATATATTAATATTAAAAAATGCAGAAGCAGAAAAAATTTTGTGACCTACTATCATGTATCCATATATCTACCTAAAGGATTTTCGGCTAGTTCAAAATAGATAATTTCTTTAAAACATTAATATAACTTCATTTTAAGACAAGACTTCATGGTTTAGAAAATAGAAGTTAAAAAATGAAAGCCTCTTTGGAAGCATCAACCTTGTCTTAAATCAATTAACTATGTCTTACAAAAAAAAAATGCCATCCCATTTTTTTTCATAATGGCAAACATCAACACAGCAAAACAGGATGCAATTTTTCTAAATAAATAAATCAATGATGTGTCAAAAATTAACAGATGAGTTAATATACTTGGTGCTATCAAAACCAGATGGTGCTTCCTAATACTCATCCTGCTCAGTCAATCCTTGAATATTTTCTGGACCATCGGTATATAAAATAGGATGCTGCTATTTGTGATGGCAAACAAAAGCAATCATGCCTGCCAAGCACATACTATAACAGGCAGCATTTCAGCTCTGCTAGACAGAAAGTAATTAGAATGCTTTTAATGTCCAAAAGAATGATGCTGATAGGCTGCCACAGATGTGTAGATTTATGAATATTTATATGGTGGTTTATAGCTGACACTTTTATCAGTTGAAGAAGATAAAATATCTGCCTGACTCAAAAGCTTGACAGTCAGGTTAATAAAATCTCATTAAAGAGAATGACCTATGCAATTATATAGGATTTATTGTAATTCATTTTTGATTGTACTCTGCTTAAAGATGCAATTTCCCATTTCCTGATGCCAAATTTAGGCTGCATATCAAGATCTACGTGGGTTTTAACTCTAAGCCTCCCACAGAGGAAAAATATGCTTTTAAAACCATGGTATATTATGCCTTTTAAGGAAAATTATACTCTTCATGAGATTTTATAAGAATGTTGAAAAAAATCTATTTTTAATCACATGTTTCTCCTCTCAATGGTTTATGGCCCTTAATGGCAAATAAGATTCACTTCAACCCTTTCATGTTTTCATTGCACTTGCTCTGGACACTCAGTCATCTCTCTTCTTCTATCCTTGATTCATTTAATCATATTGATATTCTGACTATTTCCGGTTTACTAGGTGGCCTAAGATATTTCAATAATACTTTTCGTGAGGGTGCAACAAGCAAATGACTCCCACCCCCACCCAGTATGCTTAAATGGCCATCCCTCTGTGCACACATGCTCATTGGTTCAAAGTGAAACCACTAGTTCCTCAAAGAGCCAATCAGGTGACTGTCCCTCTGATGGCCACTCACATTACAATGCCTGTTAAGAAATGGCTTTGTCCATCAATGATTAATATTATGATCACAATTCATGATGTCTAGTACTATGAGCTTTTTTTTTTTTTTTTTTGCCTCAGACTATTTTCTTTACTTCATGGAAGACACCTACCATTTAATTCACATCTTTCCAACAAGCACGTGACATCCTGTCCTTGGTGTTATCATGCTTACCTCTCTTAAAAAGAGCTTGTTGATGCCCCCTCAAACTCCCTTTGAGGGGGCATCAACAAGCCCATTTTCATTCCTTTAGATTGAGTGATGTGATTTCCATCTGGGGACAGAGACATCATAAACTAGACAGAACATTAGAAGAAACACTGAAAGAACATTTAGGACAAGGTGAGAAAGAAAAAAAAGACAAAAACAAAAAACCACAACCAAAAAGCTACATATGAATGAAAGATAGCAGGGAAACTGCCAGAGTAGGAAGGACCATAGACAGGATAGCAAGTGACTGGTGCAGAGAAAAGAAGGAATAAAACAAGATTAGAACTATGGATAAAAATGGAAATGAGAGGGGGCAGATTTATAGTGTATAAAGTAAGTAAAAGACTGAAAGTCAGCAAAGACTGAAAAGAGAAAGCGAGATGAGATTAAAGACTCAACTGGGCAGAAGAGGGGGAAAACCCCAATGAACATGGTGGAACTGAGATTATGCAAAGGAGTAAGCAATATATAGAAAAAGGGAAAAGAATACAAATTCCTGAAAAACGAGATTAAAAAACAGAAAGATAAGCAGAGCTGAGGAATAAAACTGGGCATGAACAAGTAGCAGTATAGAAAAAAAAGACTCCAAACCCAAAGAAAAGAACACAAACCTCAAGAGGTGGAAACAGAAGAAAAATGTGGAAAAAGGAAGTGGGTGAGGAACCTAAAATCGAATATAAAAACACAATACTGGGCCAGGAACAACTTAAAAAACACACACACACACCCATAAACAATTAAGGACATCCACATAAGAAACCCACTCAAAGCCATCAAACATCTCCGAATCAGTGAGGGATGTGATAGAATAAGTCTTCACTATAACCTGTAATTAGATTTTCTTTCTCAAAACCAATCCTTCATGTGTCAAAATATTGACAAACAGAACATTAGCGTAGGCATCTATAACTCATTTAGAAACAATGCTCATATTTTCATTAGAAATAAAGCCTTGGATTCATTGATATGCAGACTTGGGGGGGAGGGGAGCCTCCAAAGTGCTATAAAAGGCCTGAGTTAGTTCAGATAAGCGGAATGAACGTGGCTGCCAGTCCTCAAGGAGTGGAGAGCGTCCTAGGTCGCAGGCCCCACGCTCTGGCCTTTCCACTATCCCATCTCCATTCCCGCAGCCGGGTAGGACACCTGGCCTTTTCCCAAGGGGCCGCCTTCAGGCTCCCGGTAATGGATTAGAATCTTGTACCCTGGGGTGTTAGCGCCCAACGAAGCATTTCCGCAGGCCCCGGCCCAGAAGCTCCGGGGCGCGGGACCCGCGGCGTAGCCGTGTCCCACCCCGTAGGGGGTGTTGTGGATGGAGGGCCTGGAGCGCCGAGGCTCTCGGGGCTGGGAGGAGGGGCGGGATGTCTCCTTCCCCGAAGTTGGCCCTAGGGGCGAGCGCCAGTTCCACCGCATCGCTGGCGTAGAGGAGCCAGGAGTCTCACAACCGCGTGGCTGGGGTTTTGGGGTGGGTGGGTGGGGAAAGAGAGGAGCAACGAAAGAGGTACAGAGACACCGCGCGCACAAGAGCCTGCTGAGTAGACAGCAAAAGAGAGAGCATCAAAGCGATGGAGAAAAGGAGGGCCAGTAGGCAAAGAAAAAAAAAACAAATGAAAGAAATAGGTAAATGGAAGTGGAAAGGAAAAAGTGAAGCAGCGGAGGAAAAGGGGAGGGCGTCCCAGAGACCCTACAGAGTAGCTCAAGCTTCGCTGGGAGCTGCCTCGGCTGTCACCCTAGGGTGTCCGGTCTCAATCCAGGGCCGCGCGCGGCTTCGGCGCCAGAGCTGCCTGCCAGGTCCCCGCTCGAACAATTCCCGCCGATGCGCTCGGTGGGCGCCAAGCCGAATTCGGGCGGCGGAGCCACCTGTTAGGTGGCGCGCGCGCCGTCGGAAGCTCGGGATGCGGCGACAGCGCCTCAGAATTCTCCAGAAGTTGCTGCCCGCGCGGGGAGGCCTCCGGGGCGTGCCCCCCCCACTCTCCCCTCACGCTCCCCGGCCAGGCCCATCGCGCCGGAGGGTGTCCGGGGTCCCCAGCCTCCCCTTCCTCGGTCCCCACTACTCCCCCCGCCGGAGCGGGAAGGAAAGTTGCGCCCAAGAGTTGGTACCTGCGCTGAGCTCAGAATTCTCCAGAAGTTGCTGCCCGCGCGGGGAGGCCTCCGGGGCGTGCCCCCCCCACTCTCCCCTCACGCTCCCCGGCCAGGCCCATCGCGCCGGAGGGTGTCCGGGGTCCCCAGCCTCCCCTTCCTCGGTCCCCACTACTCCCCCCGCCGGAGCGGGAAGGAAAGTTGCGCCCAAGAGTTGGTACCTGCGCTGAGCTCT